ATCGGCATCCAGTAGAAAATTATTTATGTCATTCTCCGACAGAACTTTGGCTTTTTGGTGAATAACCTTCGTTTTTGCGCCTCAGAAACATGAACAGTTTACCAAATCTATGAACAAATATAATTTAGATGAGTATGATTAAATATCGAAGAATATAATGGCTTTTACCTTGATATGTCGATGTTTTCATATACTCTCAACGCAAGCTTCAGCATGGATATCTTTGTCCACAGTGATGTAGGAGAATACATTTCAGACATTCTTTTAGCATAAGCCAGCAATACCGCTTCATTTACGCTGTTTATACTTCTATCCTGCCGCCACTTCAAAAAATTGTCATATTCCTGCTGATATCTCTCTCTGGTTATAGTCGGAAGTATAATTTTGAGTAGCCGCAGCCGCTTCCTCCTGTATTTCCAACGGAATTTCTCGCGACATCTCGCTATGGTCTATTTTCCCAATTTTTGAAAAGTCCAACTGACAATAAATAGTCATTGTTGCAGGTGACAGACGTTACGATTACCTTAGAAACTTAACGGCCGCCGGCCGTTATGATAACGTCCGGCGGACGTTATATGCATCTTTTCCATTCTGATTTTGCTTATGTTATAATAATATAACAATATAGTATGACGAAAAACTTATATAATGACAACTACTTATCGGATAACAAATTAATTACTACTGTCAGCTAGTTCAGCTACTGTCTAGGTAGAATTTACCTAGAGTACCTACACCTACCTATGATGTAGGTAGATTAAGCTTATTTTGACGTTACCTCTCACTTTGGTGTCACAAGCTGAATTTTTCAGGGATGGAAGTACAGTACATCACAGTACATGATATGGGGACCCTTATTCCGAAAGTAGTACAAAATTAGACTGGGTAAAAAGGCACTATCATCAAAAATCGATATATTAATACCACCGTATAGAGAAAACAAATACTTATTTTTTGATCCAGTACACAATAAAGTCTTCGTAGGGAGTAATTTTTTATAATTATTTACAAAAAACATTTCCATTAGCGCTTATGACAAAAAAAAACTTTAAACATGAATAATCATTTCAATCATGCGAAAATTTGGTTTAAAAATAGATTTTTTTTAATATAACTTTCATTTAACGAAAAACGAAGGCCTAAATGAAAAAAAGAAACAATTTAAAAGTTTCGCTTATGTCTTAACAAGGTATCAAAGCAAACCCCATATTTTTGCTTTTTAAACTAATAAAGATATATCAATAAACAATTAGCGATGTAATGGTTTTTGCGCGCGCTGGCCGACTGCCGCCGCTGCGCCGAGATTTCCTATACCCTTGTATATATGACGTCATGGTGTGGCAAATGTAGCATTTTAATTCGATTTGGGCTCCCTTATATAGGATAACAGAAACATTTTCAATGTTAAAACGCACGGACACGCATCCAATGTAACCACGGGCTAAACCGAAAAATTTGAATATTTTTACGAAAAATTTGTATATTTTTGAATACCAGGTTTATTTTTATTTTAGATATATTAATGATGCTGGAAACATTGTAAAATATTCAAAAAATTTGACCGGTTGCTATTTTAATTCACCAAATAATTTACATATTCATTTTCTTCGCCTTTTCTTGCATATAAATCATTTACCTAACATTTTCTTCTGTTCATAAGTAGTTATTTTAACATTAAATCCTCAGACAGCATCAAAGTGTGGCGTCCGTTTTGACAAACTCGACACACAGGACACCATGAACGCGCATCTAATGTAACCACTAAAATAAAATAGTCGTGCGAGTAAATTCCGTCAGAGCTCGCACGTTTAAAAAAACGCACGGACCCGCGTCCAATGTAACCGCGGGCTTAGTAATAGGGGTCCCGTTTTTACCCTTTGAGTACGGAACTCTAAAAAAACCAAGCTGTTTTTCCCGTGTAGTCTTTAAATATTCTTAGTAACATTAATTCTTCCTTGTAGTAGAAAAAGTAGTAAAACTAAAAGTAAAACTCTACCAGTTTTCTTTAAAAAGCTATTTCTTGAATTAAAGCTTGATTCTCCATCTATTAAAAAATAATAAACAGGATGCCATTTAAAAAAAAAGAAGAAAAATTATTTTAAATTTTAGAAAGTTTGGCGTAGAATTTTGAATAACCTGTATGATTTAAGATTACGATATTTATAGCAAAGTTAAGTATAGACCATCTAACGTAAATACCCAATATATTTTTTATATCACGACTGTTCTTGAAATTTTAATTTTTTTTAAAAGGTTGAAAAAGAAATATTTTTTATTTATTTATTAATATCTCTAAAGCTATCGATACATATTTACCCATATCGTAGGATTATGTAAAGTGATCTAAAAGGAAGCGAAAAATACAATTATGTAAGGGGTGTTCCATTTAAAAAAATCAGCCCGATCCACTCACACTCTGAGCCACCCTGTAGAAGTTAAAATATTTTCCTAAAATACATCCTAGTACACACTTTGGTTTTGCACTTAAACAAAATTCCCAAATGTATGTATTGTATTTTGTATGTGTATTTTTCTAATTATTCAACCGAAAATAATATATTTCCTTAAAAATTAACGAATGGGTATAAGATTCTAACACTAAATTGCATTTTGACACACAACACAATTTTGACATAAAAAGAAAAAGCTGTTTTCCCGTGTAGTCTTTAAATATTCTTAGTAAAAACATTAATTCTTCCTTGTATTAGAAAACTTAACCAGTTTTCTTTGAAAAAGCTATAATTTACCTTTTCCAAATTGAATCGTCAAACAGATTTAACACTAAAGTAAGCCGGGCTTAAATTAACCATAATTAAGTACCAATTATACATCGAAAACCGACTTGCAGATGCGCTAGACTTATACGGGCTAAAGGAAATTAGAGTACTTTCCTAAAATAAATTACAGGCAGGTTCTCTCCGGTGGCAAATACTCACGCTGCCAAGCAACTTTGTATTACAATTCCCTACTACTGTTCTTTGGGGTGAAATTTATGTTTAAAGCCGAGGATTTATATTAGTGGTGGTATTGTCAGTGGGGAGAATTCTGACTAGCAGAGGAATAAGTTGATATATAGGCAAGTTCCGCTCGAAATTTTAGACCAAGATTTGACGTTGCTGCAAGACAAATACGTGTTTTGAGTTAAGGAATAATATTAACAAGATTCGTGTAACCTAAGGATATGCAAATACGCTATTAGTATGAAAGATTTATAAAATAAGTATGTAATATTAATTTAATGTTTTCAAAATATTAGACAAAATACAGGGTGACTCTTAAATAAGTGCAAATATTTTCAGGGGTGGTATATTTCGACCCCAGGAACACGTCTATAAGGTTTTTTTTGCAAAAAAAGACGTTGAAAATAGTGTATTTTCTTTTAAATTTCCCTGTATATTTTTCGAAAACTTTTTAGAACTGCCTGTTTACCGTAAATTTTCCCACGGTATCTTTGAATAAGAAGACTAAGGAAGGAGCATATCAAAAATCTTAGGTTCACCTCGATGGGACTCAATGGCCGGAATATGACAGACCAATATGGCCGACTTAAATTCCGGTTTATCAGTGCCGTTCTAATTTTATTTAAAAAATGTAAAACTATGATGTAGGGTAGGCGTGGGGTAGACTCAATATTTTTTTTTATTTTACGTTGTGAATAAATGTTGGTAGTTATTAAAATTGTTATAAAAACATATTATTATAATAAAAATAGATAAGTTTTAATAATTATTTATTAACACAAACATCCGATACGCTACTGAAGCAAGTAAGTCAAATTGACGTATGTAAATTCTTTGTCATCTAATCTTTGACAAGTAGTAAATAAAAGCAAAAATGCAAGAAAAAATAAAAATATATAATTAGTTAATTTAAGTGAATTTCATAAATGATCGGTTTACTACACGTATGTATATAGTCACTTACCAGCGAAAAGTTGTTCCATTATTTCACTCGATTTTTGCCGAGATCTACCACAACCAACTATTTTAGAGTCTTTTTCGATAAATCGCGATAGTGTCACTGTTAATTTAAGTTCTGCCACAACTTCCATCTAGATCTACTACCTTTATACAACTATCAGTAGTAGAATAAATAATAAATACAATAAAATAAGCTCCGTAAAGACTGACAAATCCACAAAATTTCACATCAGATTCAAATGTGTCAAATGAATCGTCAAACAGAACTGTCAAGGATCGCCACCCTAGAGTCCTTTTTCCGTCCACCATGCATGAATACATGGATAGCATTATGCTCCTTCCTTAGTCTTCTTATTCAAAGCACGGTATAATTTCTTAATATCTGATATTACCATAGTTACGGCTTTACTCTATGGTTACGCCACTAAAAGCGATGCAAATACAGAAAAAATCCGGTGGTTCTCAACATTTTTCCAAAAAAATTAATTTTTAAAAAATTTTAAACTTTAACTCGGTTATTTTGGACTTATCTGAAAAATGGCAAGGAGAAAATATGTTTCTTTTATCGAGATCTACCAGCCCTGAAAATATTTGCACGTATTTAAGACTCACCCTGTATATCGCTTAAGGATACAAATTTTTAATGCCCTCTGAAACCTCTGAAAAAAAGAGCCACATACATAAAATTGTATATCATAGTTTTTTAGTGGTATGACATTTTACAAAAAATGAGTCAAGTCCGTTAAGTATTTTAAGTTAACTTTTTTGCTGCTACTTAAGGCTAATATGGAAGGCTACGTTGTTTAGGCGGAATCTGAACCATGGTCCTCTGCCATATTATTCGCAGTGGCCTACTGACTTGGCGAGTGACTAAATCGACTCAACAACATTGTGATAAAATATATTAAAATATAAGGGTCTTTAAGTTATCTATGATGTTATAAAAGTAATTAGGTGCAATTTTTCATAATCACGAAATCATCAATAATTACAAAATATTAAAAAATATAGATTAACATTCAAATTAACGTTAAACACATAAAATACAAATTAACACAATACTATAAAAAATCAACTTACCTTATACTAACTTTTAAAAATAGTGTGACGACCCATAAAATTTCTGCAATAAAGACGAATATTGAAAATGATCTGCAACAAATAAAAATATATTAACAAAAAACAATAATATCAATTATTCTAAATGTTTCCATAGAATAAATGACTGAGTTTAAAATTCGAGAAAAAAATATTTTTTTTTGGAAATAGATTTGTGTATCTGGAAACGTTCTCTTTTTTTAATTTTTCTATACAGTAGAACTTCGATAATTCGGACACATATCGGAACAGCTACCACCGAATTAATGAAGTATCCGTTTTACTGGAGGAATATTTTTATAATGTTATTGTTTCATACTTTTATTGTTTCTAACCTAAACTTTAAATTTAAACACATTTTTATTTAATCCAAATCGCAAAACGCTTTATAAAACATATTAAAACTTATTTTTGTTCTTATAAATTGTGCTTATTGTACCTACATGTACAGTTTATACGAAATAAACTTAGTCACGTGATTATGCTTGACCGGCAGCATTTTTCCGTTTCCTATACGGCTAGCACAACCGATTGCGTTAATCGCCTAGGAAACGGACTCGAGACCTGCAACTCCGTTTACTAAGTGGTCATCGCAACCCATGCAAAGAAGCGCTTGCAATGAACTTTCTAGGTATGCTTTATTTGTAGTCACTTATAGGACACAGAAAATGGGACACTCAATATTACTTCTAACCGCTACACTATAACAAAACTCTAAGAATTAAGATTTAAACAATTTAATTTGACAATTAATCAAATAAATAAACTTACAAAAATATTATTCCAGCAATGAAAATCATAATAATTCCATTCATTGATTTGTATAGGGTGGATTGCTATAATTGTAATGCCATGTACGTATAGGTTAAACAAGTAGAAATTTGGATATCAGGATTAAAGAACATTTAAAATCTATTAATAATCTCCAGCAAAGTTCCGGTCTAGCAACTCATTGTATAATAGTCACACAGTTAATGAAAACTCAATTAAGTTATTAGATGGAGAAACAAAAGGCAGACGTTTAAATTACCTAGAATAGTTAGACATATTAAAATCAGCTAAAAGCGACAATAATGTAAACGACCAACAAGGATTTCTAAATACATTTTTTATTACCTCTATTGTAAACTCCTTAAATCCCCCACCATAGCAAATATATTATATATCCTTAAAATGTAGTCAGACGGTTAGTTTTTAAAGAACTTTTAAAAATGCCTAACGAAGTTACTCTTTTTAATTTTTTTTGATACATATAAAAGCGTGTTTTATTAAAATTCTAATATTTCAACGATGTTTCACAAGGAACCAACCACCGACTCAGCACTATTTATTTAAAAAAAAAAACAGATTGACATATCAACCACGTATTAAAGCTGTGCTGCCGAACTGCCTTGCCAATATTAGCATATAAAACGTTAAAAGTTACCTATTAGATTTATCTCTCAATTATGTTGCTTTCTTTGGAATCCAGAATAAAAATACCTCATTATTAATTTAAATTTATTAAATTTAACACCTATGCAGGTCCACCTGTCATAATAATAATATTATGACTCATTATAATAATACCATTTGCATTGGTTGCGTTAACCACTTAGTAAACGGAGTTGCAGGTCTCAAGTCCGTTTCCTATGAGATTAACGCAATCGGTTGCGCTAGCCGTATAGGAAACGGAAAAATGCTGACCGGCACAGCGTTGATCACTTTTATATTATTTTCTTTTAACCAAAATATTTTATTACAGTTTAGGTTTGGAACCTTTGGTGTTACACAGCAAAATAAAAACACTAAATCACCACAATACACCAAAACACTTTTACTTTTATACTGGACGCGCGTTTCGCTAACCATGTTATTATGTCAGTTTATAATCATCTGCTGATGATGCTAACATGGTTAGCGAAACGCGCGTCCAGTGTAAAAGTAAATGTGTTTTGGTGTATTGTGGTGATTTAGTGTTTTTATTTTGCAAAATATTTTAGGAAACAAAAATAAATGAATTATAAATATATACGTTATTATTTACATCAACAAAACTCCTTAACAACACTTAAGGGACATAAAGGGCCAATACTACTGCTTTCCCGTTCAAAATATTCTAATAAAGTTGCGATGAGTTTTTTACGGCTATTTCTGGTACAGTTACGGCTATATCTAAACTTCGCACTAAAAGAGGTTCTAAAAAGTACAACCTTCGACTGCAGGGTCTGCCAGTAAACAGTTTTAAACTTAAAGTATCATAACACTATTTATTTAAACTAAAAATTCATAATAAAAAAATAAAGTGTCAAAATGAATGACAATGTCAAGAGATGAATAAATAAATGCGGGAAAGCCCCCCAGTCTTCCAGCGAGAAATTTAAATTACACTTAGTCAGCACGGCGCCCAATTTATCAATGGATGGCAACACATAATTTAAAAATTGCACCCTCGATGACGTAACTAAAAGTTTATTTGTTATGAACCGTACCTATATGCGACCCATAAAAGATAACTCAGTTACTACTCACTACAATATACATATTAAATAACTATGCACCTTAATACATATTAAACACTTACATAGAATGTAAAAAAAATGTGAAATTAATATTTAATTTGAATTAAGTTGATAGATTTGAATTATTTGGTTTTAAAAAAAATGGATCGATTTTTATCTACATACTTATCGATTTTGCTGCCTCAACAGCCTTCCCTTTTACTCCTTTCAAAAGCAAAATGTCTTGCGTAGAAGCATAATTTTCTTCTACCCAGTAAATACTTTTCGATAAAGATTTTACAGCATATTAATCTAGTTAGAATCATTTTCAACTAGCTAAGTATCATTTTTAACATAACATTGTTATCCTCTGTTTCACTTTTAGTTGTCATTTGTTTCCTTTGTTACTAATACCTCGTATTTTCTCTTCAATTTGTCTCTGCCTTATAGTATACTCTGCAGTCAAACCAGAGTGAAATTATTTTTCTCCTTAAGTTCATTTACATTTTTTTTTGTACATGGTTTGATTTATTTATTTGTTCTTAGTAGATATGATTTTTTTTATTCTTGATGTTTGTAATTTTTTATATCTGAAATATTAAATTTCGGAATAACAAACAATGGAATGTTACATATGGAACAGAAATTTTACGTATCCTTCCTTCTTTGTCTATGCAATCCAATATCTTTCATTTCTTCAGCAAGCGTCGTCGACCGTCCAAGTCGACCGTCCAGCCGTCCACCGTCCAAGAAAAATGTAAACTCATTCATTTGCCTTTAAATTTTGTTGGCATCCGGAATAAAGAGGTAAAAAGATCAAAATTGTCCGGTTAGGTTTGGTTTGGTTAAGTGACGCCGAACTACTAGAGTGTCCGATTTGGCGCATGTCCGAATTAGAGAAGTTCTACTGTAATTAGTGTTAATTTTTGACAAGTTTTATGTCAATTTTTAGAGACCGGCCTCGCCAAAATTTTCATCGATTTTCATTCCCCAGCCTTCTTTGATGATCATTATACGGTATAATAATTATATTATAGTTACTCTGTATACAGGGTGCTACAAATTCGAGGTACGAGCATTGGTATCTCGGTAACCGTAATAGATACGAACATGGTTAAATTGGGGCAAAGTTGCGCTTTGTGATGTTCACAAATATACCATCAAAAAAGTTTTAAAAATTTCAAGGATTGCTGAGTTTTTTTGAAAATAAATTTAATTTTTTTCTGTCATTACTTTTAAGAAAATCAAAAAACTAATTGCACATTCTAATAGCCACTTTATTAGGGCTATCTGATAGTATTTTTAAATTTTCAAATTAGCTGATAATTTGTGAGATACAGAGGCCAACTTAATGTTTTTAAATACAAACCTGCATTTTTTAGTTTCGGTTTTGAAAGAACTCGGTTTCCTGAGTACAATGATATGCCACACTTTATACTTTTTTTTTGTTTTGGGTACCTTAACAACAGAAAACTATATAATTATTATTTAAAATAATTTCAAGTCCGACTCTGGTTTTTTTAATTATTTAATCTGATTATATTCGTCGTAACAATATTGATCAGCGCTAATTAACAATGAATAAGAAAAATCGAGCCAATTGGACTATTCAAATAAATTATATCCAGGTCAGCAATTTAAAGATATTATTTTTATTTTTTTTATTGTGAATTTGAAATCTCAGTGTGGGATCTAATAATATGCGTAATATTCATCGTAGTTATTATAAATAAATAAACTTCTACAAACTAGTTTCTAATGTTCTACGAAAGGGATACCACCCTCCCTATTGCACAAATTTATTTTTCGTTCAATTTTATTTATAGCCCTTTGAACTTTCTTCTTATACTTCCGAAAGCATTTTGTACTCTTTATTGTATATATTTAGATATATTGATTTCACTTTTACAAATGACATGAAGTAATGTATTCATTTGTATATTATTTTTTATTATTTTATTGCATTTGATTTTCAATATTCAATGTTTTACCCCACGTCATTTTTAAGTTTGAAAGCTTATCGATATTGTAACGATGAATAGATTAAATATTAAAAAAAAACAGAGCCGGACTTGAAATTAGTTTAAATAAATTGTGTTCAAATGTCTGAAACAAAAAAAATATTAAGTGTGGCATATCATTGTACTCAGGAGACCGAGTTCTTTCAAAATCTGAAATAAAAAATGTAGGTCCATTATCAGCTAATTTGAAAATCTAAAAATACTATCAGAGAGCCCTCATAAAGTGGCTATGAGAATGTGCAATTAGTTGTTTTGATTTTCTTAAAAGTAACGACAGGAAAAAATAAAATTCATTTTCAAAAAAATCCGTTTTTTCCAAGAAACTCAGCAATCCTTGAAATTTTTAAAACTTTTTTGATGGCATTTTGGTGAACATCCCAAAGCGCAACTTCGCCCCAATTTAACCTAATGTTCGTATCTATTACGGTTACCGAGATACCAATGCTCGTACCTCGAATTTGTAACACCCTGTATAAGATCTTAATAAATTTTGTCCAATAAACCATTTTTATTTTTAATACAACTAGTAAATTTTCGGCATTTGCCAAAGGGG